GTAAGAGAGGAAGGAACGAAGCGAAGAGGGGTGGCGAAGGAGCTAGACAAAGTAGCTTCTCCGGGGTTTCCTTCCTATTATCCGTGGTTGGCGGTCCGCTCAGCCAGCATGCATACAAAGCAGTATTTATAGGCAACGTAGCGGCGCACGGCCCGGAGGGACGAGTTGAACAAATATTCATCCTCCGGAGTCTAAAGTCGAAACACGATCGTCCCCCCTCCCTTCCTCCTTCCCCGCACACACTCTCCACGACCGCATCGCCGACATCTCCGCTTTATCCCCCCCCTCGTCCTGAAAATCACGACCATACTCTTCAACCATCCGGTGTTTCGATTATCACGAGGTTAGATATTGAGAAACGCGTAGAAATTCGAAAATTTTTTCCCCGGTGTTTTTGACGAGAAACGATCGATTTTTCGTCGAGTTAGTTGCGAGGAGAAGAGGAGGAGGGCGAGGCTTTCGTATCGTTAAGCTTTATCGAAGCGAAAATTCGACCGAGTGGTAGAAAAGAGTCAGTTGCAAGACGTTACGGTTACACGATCTCTGGCCATGGACGAAATCGTTACGATGGGGAGGAGGGGGAACGGAGAATATAACGACGCGCTTCTTCACGACTTCACCACGTCGATTGTTCGTCGATTCGATCGAGGATTTCTTTTCGAACGCGCGATCGAAACGATTCGAGAAAGAGTGTTCTTGGATCTTCTTGGGGGGAGGGTAAATCGGGATAATAAGAGAGGATTTCCTCGATCGATTCCTTCCTGGCTCGTTCCTGCGCGATTAAAGCGGGGTCGGTCGAGCAAAGAGGTTAAATTTGTGCGCGAACGGAAACTGAGATAAATCAACCGCGTGATGGGATTTCCTTGCACGAGAGACGCGAGCAGATGACTTTGCAAATTTCATGACTGGAGGCGAAGTCCGCTTCGAGAAGGAAGATCGTGGAGAGGCCGATGTAAATCCGTAGCGTAGTAATTTTAAATTTTTTAAACCGCTTGTTTCCGATGTTTTATCTCTTGACTTTTCGCCGATCGAAGGGAAGAAGGATCGAACGGATAAGAGAAGATGGGGACAGATCTCGAACGACGAGTGCTACTTCGCGCGTAAATTCCAGCTGGAAATCTCCTTAGCGATGCGGTCCTTCTTCCCTCTTTGCATCGGTTTTACGGGCTAGCCGTCGGTTTGCTACCTCTAAATGCAATTTATCGGTCCCGTGGCGAGAACAAGCACGGACGCTTCTCTCTCTCTTTCTCTCTCTCTCGACCATCTTTCGTGCCAAATCTCGATTCGTTCGTATACTTCTCGCGACACCTTTTTCTCGTCCCTTTGTTCTTTCTCAAAGAAGTTCTCGCGTCTCGATCGTCAGCCTTAGAAAGTGATGTATGATAAGCAAATGGAAACAGAAAGAGGGAGAGAGAAAGTTAGATGTCTCGAAAAGAAGATCAAAGAGATGGATCGCGTTAGCTCGCTTATTCCCTGACAGCTCGATTCGAAGGAACAGGAGAGCGACACGCGCGAGCTCTCTCGAGTAAACCGAGCGAAAAGTTAGCTGTTAACTCGCTACAAACTAGCGGCCAAATAGCTTTTCACCAAGAAATACCTCCATGCGCTTCTAACGATGTCGATATCGATCCATCATATATATATATATTGAATTGTTCGGAAAGTAATTTCGTTTTTTTCGAAATGACCAAATCGTTTCATGCGATCACGAACAATGGAATTTCTCGAATTGTTATTCGTCGTTTGCTTCGATCGGTGCCTTTATTTTGTTTTCATATTGGAACGAAATTTCAAAAACCACTGACATAGTGTTGATATCTTCTTCATTCACTTCGCGTAACTTTTCTTACCTGAACGGCATTCCTAACCTTTATATAATAACTTTGTATAAATAAAAAAGTAAAATATATCGAAAATGTTCTTTTTAGTCTCGTATCTTTGTTATCGCGCACGAAAAACACAACCGCACAACAGAATTAAACGAATTTTTCTTATAAATAAATCGAAATGCCAACTCTCAAAATATATAATAACACGATTTAGAATGAAGTTGGCTGTGGATAAACGTTCGACACGTAGCGACGCTCGTGTGAAGAAACGAAATTACTTTCTAAACAAGCCAGTATACATATTAGATGTGCAAATATATTCTTTTCTCTTTTTTTCTACGATTATAATTTCTGACCGAATTCAAATCATTTCACGTTGGTGGTGTCATCCGAAAAAGCATTCTTTCGTTTTTAAGAGTCATGAAGAGAAGCATTGTTCGCATCGCTGCTTACTTTTTGTGTTCCAGTTTAGGAAATTGGGTTAAAGCTATTGAAATGGTTTGTGTAGCATTGGGACAGAACATCGTATCTTACAGAATGTGCGAAAAGTCGTAACAAAGATTTAAAGCTGGAAATTTTAATTTGGAAGACGGCGATCGTTCAGATACACCGAGAAGTTCGACGACAGTGAATAAGAGGAATCTCTCGACGAAGATCCGACCCAGATGCGAGAAGAATTGACAAGAAAGATTGAAAATCACCAGAGACAAATCTATCCGATTGAAATAATTGGGTATTCTGATTTATGTAATAAAATCTTGAATTTGGAAAAAAAGGGGGAAAGAATTTATTTGCAAACCTACATATATATACGATAATAATACGCTTCCATTGATCGAAACGATCGATTTTTCTTCGAAGGAAAAATCCATCCGACTTTTCTTTGCGCCATCAATTTTTCCCACGTATCGCGGCGTTGTTCTTTCGTCGTTCTCGACGCGACACGAGAAATTCATCGCCTCTCGATATCTCCTCTCACCTCACTCGAAATTCACCGCACCACAATCGCCTTTCCACGTTAATTATCCAGGCTCGCGAGAGACGAGACGATCGAGCGATCGTCGTCCAAGGATTACTTGTTTATTCAACAGGACAACCACGGCTATGGCGATCGATCCAAAGGCGGGTTTTAAACCGGCGACGGGAAAATACGAAGCAACGAGAAGAAGTGGTCGAGAAGAAGAATCGTAAATACGGGAGCGAATCGACTCGGACAAAAAAGACGTACTCCTCGAAGGATACTCGACGAGTGTCTGAGTATTCGCAAAGGGAGCGAAGTAGTCTCGACGAAGGAGAGCCTTTTTCCCTGCAAACTCGAGGAAGAATCCTCCCCATTCTCCCGTCTTCCCGTCTCCTTCGATTTCTCCAACCTCCCCCATTAAACGAGGAATGATCGCCATTCTTCTAGGTTCGCGTTATTCGTCTTTTCCTCGGATCGCCGAGAAATCGCGCGTATCGCTCGATTTAACGATTTACAAAAGTCGGTGTTTATCCACCGTGTTTACCACCGATTCGCGCCGATTGAACGAACGAACGAAGAACGGGATTCCAATTAAATCGGAAGCATCGAGAGTAAAACAAAAAACAAAAAAGAGCGAGAGAGAGAGAGAGAGAGAGAGAGAGAATGATCCAAACAACAGTCGCTCTCGATCGATAAAAACTCTTCCCGCCCAATTTCGAGAACAATGGCTCGAACAAAGTAATGGTTCTCGCCGAAAAATTCACTACACTCGTACGACACCTCCACCGATTAATTTCGCTCTTTTGTTTCCAACGACCAGCCATCTCGCGTTGTTGCCAATTGTCTCGATTCGATCTTCGCCAGTGATTGACCATTGGAATCCATGCGGAACGACGATACACAGCTGCCTATCGATCGATCTCTTGGAAGGGACGTGAAAAGAACAATATAGGCACCGTTGGTTTATTTCAATTTTATTATAAAATATAATAATGCGATGTAACATTTACTCCATATCGAATATTCATTTCGTTACTGTACCGTATAATATGTATAATATGTACAACGAGTAAATTTGCTCTATGCGAGTGGTGTTCCTTTGGATGGATCGGAATTCATCCCCCCTCCTTCTCCCTTAGGAAAAGAGAGACGGCGATCCGACCGTGCGCGCGTATACGTGTGCGTGTGCGTGCGTGTGTGTGTATGTATGTGTGTACGATTTCCATCGTGGATAACGGCACCGCCGACTCTTCGAAACGTCCAGTTTCCGCGCGATTGATTCTCGAGCGAGCGATTCGAACAGAAGAAGGGGACAGGGAGAGAGAAAGAAAGAAAGAGAGAGAGAGAGAGAAGAAAAACAGAAAAATATAACGTTAAATTTACGCGTCGATGACGAGTTCGTTTCTGCTACGATTCCGTAACGCATTATCGTTATTCGCGCGTCTCTTTCTTTCTTCTTTTCACCCGATCTAACGAATTCTTCCATGTTCGATCGGACGAATAACAAGCGAACAAAGAGAGAGGGAGAGAAAGAGAGACGCGCTGCTCCTCCTTTATATTTTTCTCCGTCGTGTTCCCGTCGTGTCGTCGTACGGCCGGCAATTTACATGCAAATAAGGAGCAAAGGGGAGTTACCGGTTACAAAACCGTCGCGATTCGAATTTACCTCCCCCCCTCCCCCCCTCCTCTTCCGAATACTCTGTCAAAGAGTTTACGAA